AGCCTGGGCAACAGAGTGAGACACCATCTCAAAAAATAAATGAATGAATGAATGAATGAATGAATGAATGAATGAATCCATCCACCTATTTTTTTTAAAAAAGAAAAAAATAAAAATATATTAAAAAGGTCATTGGGATTTGATAGGGATTGTATCAAATCTGTAAATCACTTTAAGTAGTGTTCTGCTCCTAACAATATTAAGTCTTTCCATTTACGATCATGGGATGTTTTCTCGTTTATTTATGTCTTTACTTTCAGCAGTGTTTTGTGTAGAAAGTCTTTTGTGCACTAGTCTTTTGCCTTTGTGGTTAAGTTTATTCCTAAACATTTCATTCTTTTTGATGCAATTGTAAAGATAATTGTTTTTGTTTCCTTTTGGGATTGTTCATTGTTGTCTTTGCCCGTTTTTTACTTTTTTAATTTAATTTAATTTTTTGAGACAGAGTCTCACTCTGTCACCCAGGCAGCAGTGCAATGGCACTATCTCAGCTCACTGCAACCTCTGCCTCCTGAGTTCAAATGATTCTCATGCCTCAGCCTCCCAAGTAGCTGGGATTACAGGCATATAACACTATTCCCAGCTAATTTTGTACTCTTAGTAGAGACAGGGTTTCACCATGTTGGTCAGTCTGATCTTGAACTCCGACCTCAAGTGATCCACTCTCCTCGGCCTCCCAAAGTGCCAGGATTACAGGCATGAGCCATCGTGCCCAGCCATCTTTGCACGTTTCTGATTGGGTTGTCTTTTTATTGTTGAGTTGTAAAAGTGCTTTATATATTCTGGGTACAAGTCAAGAGATGTGATATAAAGATTTTTACATGGTATTTTTTCCTTTTGTGGAGATGGTAGTAATTAATAATTTGCAAAAAGGCTTAAATGCAATTAAGTCTTAATAATAGCTAAAATTAATTTATCTGTGTTTTAGAAGTTGGGAATACTTCTCTTAGAATATAATGCTCATACTACTGTTGTTAATGGGAGTAGACAGCAAAAGAAATTGCTCACAATGAAGAAATCATGCTTTAAGATAAATATGGATCTTAACATAAATAGCATTTACTTTCACTATAACCAACATTCAGAATATGACTAAAAATGGCATCTGAGATACCAAAATAGAGGACAGCCAGTGAATGCACTAATGATAATGTCATTTGGAAGTCACTGATTAGTGATATAGCTATCTGTATGACGGTTTTTTTACTTAAAACTTTTGAGCTCTTAATTTATACAAGATTATGGCAAGTTTTAAAAATCTATTTTTCAGGCTGGGCACAGTGGCTCATGCCTGTGATCACAGCAGTTTGGGAGGCTGAGGTGGGAGATCACTTGAGGTCAGGAGTTCAAGACCAACCTGGTCAACATGGTGAAACCCTGTCTCTAACAAAAATACAAAAATTAGCCGGGCATGGTGGCAGCTGTCTGTAATTCCAGTCACTCAGGAGGCTGAGGCAGGAGAATTGCTTAAACCTGGGAGGTGGAGGTTGCAGTAAGCTGAGCTCATGCCACTGCACTCCAGCCTGTGCAATAGAGTGAGACTGTCTCAAAAAAATAAAAAATTATTTTTCAGGCTGGGCATGGTGGCTCCCATCTGTAACCCCAGTACTTTAGGAGGCCAAGAAGGGAGGATTGTTTGAGGCCAGGTGTTTGAGACTAGCCTGGACAACATGGCAAAACACTCATCTCTACAAAAAAAATTTTTTTAATTTTTTTAAATTAGCTGGGTGTGGTGATGTGTCTGTAGTCCCAGCTACTCAGGAGACTGAGGCAGGAGGATCATTTGAGCCTAGAAGTTTGAGACTGCAGTGAGCCATAATCGCGCTACTGTACTCCAGCCCAGGCAACAGAGCAAGACCCTGTCTCAAAAAAAAAAAAAAAAAAAAGAAAAAAAAGAAAAAAAAGGTTTTCCAAATACTCAACAAAATTAAAAGTAGAAAATTAGAGACATGAAGGAAAATGGCTGATAGGCTGATGAAGCATGATAAGGAATATGGAAGGGCAGGACAGAGAAACTATAAGAGGGGCAGCTATGGGAGTTATTTGGTGTTGGGTAGGACAGCCCTGGCTGGCTCCGTTTTCTTGAGGACTTCACTGTAGTATAGCAGGAAGCAGTAATTTCTTGATGGATCAGCTTCATTGTTATGGATGTGAAAGACTAAATTGGATTTAGGAAGACATGAGTCTGCAATAACTCAAATTTCTCTAATGTTGTTTAAAAGAAAAATGTTTGGATGCTTACATTTAGAAACTCTCATGCAATAGAATCTTTCTTTGAATGACCAGGGCTTTGCTATAATTATTTTTCAGTAGTATTCCTAATGTTGAAAAGAAAAGGTTTTTTATTTCTATACTGTGAGTAAAGATATTGAATTAAAGTTGCAATTTCATACATATCCTTTGTTTCTTTCCTTTGAAATTCAGAGAAAGGCAATATAATTTTGTATTTAAAGGATTTTGATTTCTTAATTTTAATTTTTAGTATTTTTATCTAAAGAAAAACCAAGATCCTGCTCTTTATTACTTTCCAATTCCCTTGAGAACTAAAATATTCTCACTTATTCTGTAGTTACAAAAACAACGTCTACTTGTCAGGCATCTTTAGATCAGTGTCTCAACTTGCTTCTACATTTAAAATGAACCCTCCTTATCAGTAAACAAGCAAATCAACATATAATGTCTTCTATTAGACACTGTTTTATGGAATGTGGGGACATGTAGAACATATTAGCTGTGGTTCCTGCCTTTTAATGATTTGTGAGAGAGGATGAGGTACTGTCTTTGATCATGTCCCATCATTTTAATTGCAACACGATGAGAACTCAGAACTGAGGTTTTCTTGACAGACTGGAATGTAAGGTTAACCTGACAAGTTGACATTTAATAAGGGCAATCATCAAGACATGCTCTAAGGCACTTTCAAAATCCAAACTGTACAAGGACGAAGATCTAGTTGACTTTAGAAGTAATATGATTTGTCAGTTGATGTGGTCCTAGCCTGGGAAATAGAAATAGAGACTTAATTGAGTGATTCTGCTCTAATGAGATCACCTTATCCACATATAATATCATTTCTGGATAGTGTTAAATCTGTTATTGGCAGACTACAGGAAGTGCATTGAACTCACCAAGACCATAGGTATACCAGAAACCATGTCACAGGATAATGTACAAAGAGACAGGAAATGTTTGACCCCAAAAACAAAGAAATAGCTAGGCACAATGAAATCATACTCAAGTACCTAAGGAGCTGTTATTTGGGAAGAGGGATGATTTTATTTGCGGCAGAACCAGGCCACTTGATGGCCCAGGTGATGGAGTAGCAGGGCGTTTGTCTTTGGGTCCAGTGTATTGTAATAATGGCTTGGGTTGCCTTGAAAGATGCAGTAAGTTTCTTAAGATTGGAGGTATTTGGGGAAAGTATAGACTGTTACTTGTAAGATATTTTCTTCTTCTATATCTCATTTGTCTTTTTATTTTGAAAAATTTCTAACCTATGGGAAAGTTTCAAGAATAATACACACTTGTATGTCCTTCACTTACATTTGTCAAATATTGACATTTTGCCACATCTGGTTTAGACTTTTACATATTATTTGATGTTATTTATTTACTTTTAATTTTTTGTTGAGCTATTTGAGAATAATTTGCAGATATAGTGATGCTTTACCCCTAAATACTTCAGATCTAGCTGGGTGTGGTGACTCACGCCTGTAATCTCAGCACTTTGGGAGGCCGAAGCAGGTGGATCACTTGAGGTCAGGAGTTCAAGACCAGCCTGGCCAACATGGCAAAACCTCATCTCTGCTAAAAATACAAAAATTAGCCAGGCCAGGCATGGTGGCATGTGCCTGTAGTCCCAACTACTCGGGAGGCTAAGGCATGAGAATAGCTTGAACCCAGGAGTTGGAGGTGCAGTGAGCTGAGATCACACCACTGCACTCCAGCCTGGGTAATAGAGTGAAACTGACTCAAGAAAAAGAAAAAAAGAAAAGTTTTAGATCTTTTAAGAACAAAACAAGGATTATTTTCTTACATAATCACAATAATCAATTTCAGGAAATTAACATTAATATTATATAATATACATTTTGTATACAAATTTAGCCAGTTGTCCAAATAATGTTCCTTGTAAATTTTTCCTTCCATCTAGGATCTAATTCAGAATCCCACATTGTATTTAATCATCTCTTTAGTCTCTTTTTATCTGAAACAATTCTTCAGCCTTTGTTTTTGTTTTTCTTGATACTGCCATTTATTTTAATTTTAATTTTAATTAATTTATTTATTTTAGAGACAGAGTCTTGCCCTGTTGCCCAGGCTGGAGTACAGTGGTGCAGTGGTGTGATCATAGCTCACTGTAGCTTTGACCACCTGGGCTCAAGCAGTCCTTCTGCCTCTGCCTCCCAAGTAGCTGGGACTACAAATATGTGGCACCACACCTCGCTTATTTTATTTTATGTTATGTTATGTTAGGTTGTTTTATGTCATGTTATTTTATGTTATTTTATTTATTTATTTTATTTTATGAGACAGAGTTTCACTATGTTCCCCAGACTAGTCTTGAACTCCTGGCCTCAAGTGATTCGCACACCTTGGCCTCCCAAAGTGTTGAGATTACCGGCATGAACCACCACACCCAGACAATACTGACATTTTTTAAGAGGAAAGCAATTGTGGAATTGTTTGTAGAATGTCCCTTGATTTTGTTTTTTCTCTCTTCATATGATTAGGTTCAGGATATGTATGTCTGGCAGGAATATTATGTAGGTGAAGTCGTATCCCATACTAGTGTAACACATTAGGGAGCACGTAATGTCTGTTTTATTGGTGATGTGAGCTCTGATCACTTTGTGGTGTACTGTAAGGCATCTTTTCCCTTTGTAATGAATAAATGTGTGGGAAGAAAAGTTGAGATAATGTCAATATCCTGTTTACCAATAAACTTCTAGTCAGTAGTTTCAGCATTCATTGATAATATTTGTTCTAATTATGTTCAGGAACAGAGCAGGACCCAGGATGCAAGACCCTAGGCATCCCCGAGGCCTTCCACCGTCCCCAGGCCTTCCAAAGAGACAGCGGCAAGACCGCACAGTCTACAACTGGAAACAGCAGGAAGTGCTAGAAAATCACTTTAAGAAGGAGCCGTACCCAGGCTATGACACACGACAAAAGTTGGCGGAGATGCTCAACCTCGGGGAGTACCAAGTGCAGGTGTGGTTCAAGAATCGCCGGGCCAAACGCTCTCGGGAGCGGTTGTTCCAGCAGCAGCTCCAGCAGTTCCAGCAGCGTCCTCAGCAGCAGCAGCCTGAGCAGCAGGTCCAGCCCCAGCAGCCCCAGCAGCCCCAGCAGCCCCAGCAGCAGGTCCAACCCCAGCAGCCCCAGCAGCCGCAGCAGCAGGTCCAACCCCAGCAGCAGGCCCAGCCCCAGCAACCCCAGCAGCGCCAGCAGCAGCAGCCCCAACAGGAGCAGCAGCCCCAGGAGCTCCAGCTCCAGCTCCAGCAGCCCCAGCAGCAGCGGCCCCGGCAGCAGGTCCAGCCCCAGCAACCCCAGCAGCTCCAGCAGCAGCAGCCCCAGCAGCAGCGGCCCGGGCAGCAGGGGCAGCCCCAGGCAGGCCACAGCCCGCAGAGCTCGCACTGTGCCCCCTTTCCCTGAAGCCGCGGCCTCTGCCCCCAGTCAGCCTGGCCCCTTGGGAATTCTCCCAGTGGTGGAACTCATGATCTTCAGCCTCCACCAGGCCTGAAGTATCTTTGGGTGCAGAGCCCAGGAGGGCGTTTGGCTGCCCTGGGTCTAGCCCCTGGCCCAATCCCAGCCCCATTCCAGGCCCACTCAAAAGCTAAGGCCCAATCCCAGGTCCAGGCTCCATCCTAGCCCCTGGCCCGATTCCAAGTCAGGCTTACTCCCAGGCCCAGCTCCAGCTCCAGCTCCAACTCCAATTTTAGGCCCAGGCCCAGGCCCAGGCCCAGGCTTAGTCCTAGCCCAATCCCAAGTCCTGGCCCAATCCCAAACTTACGATCACTCCCAGACTCAGCCCTAGTCTCCTTGTTACCTCAGAGCCCTTATGGCTCCAATTTCTTGCCAGACACAGTCATTCCCTGACTTCGCAGAGCTCCTCCCACCCCTGGACCAGTTCGAGGGATCCTTGGTCTCAACCACCACATCTCAGTACCAAGATGAGAATGGCTCTACGGACAAAAAGACTCGGGCCCCAGGTGATTAATGAATTTATAGGCGGCCTGTGTCTGCAAAGTCCTGTGGATCCCAGTGGATCTGGAGTGGCTGGTTGGTCTACACCACTGGTGAATGCACCACCATTTACTCACCCTGCCACTGGTGGGCATTTGCTGTCTTCACTGTATGACCATCACGACTGGCTCTGCTATGAATGCACCGGCCTCTCGTTTGAGTTCAGCCTGAGCATTTCGCAGCTGGGATTGGAGTTGCTGCTCATGGAGGTGTTTGGCATTAGTGGATGCTGCTTAAGAGCTTTTTACAAAGCTCTTTCCAGAGCTTCTCCCAGCACTTCTGATAGTCAGCATTCTTCCTGACACAGGATTGTGAGACTTTTTAATGTTTGTGGATCCAATGGCTTATGGCTTCCCTGATAACTGAGAGGTTGATAAGTTCTCAGATGTTAATTGAACCTTAGAAATCTTCATAATGTGTCCATTTGTTTACCCATTTTTCTTCATTTATTTGAATGCATTTTTATATTCTCTTGATAATTAAAGTGCTACAAACACCCTCCAAAAATACTTGCCCTAATCATTTATTACTATGTTGATTGCAAAGTAATGATTTTCTATCACTAATGAACTATGCCTTCCAGCTTCTCTCTTGCATTTCAAGGGTACTCCTATTCAGCCTACTCTGTGCATGTATGTAAGCATGTCAGGGCTGAGGTAGACTTTATGACCTCTGAGATCCTTACTAACTTGATTCTGATTGAAGAGAAAGATAATTAGTTTAAAGTAATATTAAATTTCATAGGAAAAATATTTTTTGGATTTGTAATATTTGCTTTAAGAACATTTATTGAGATATATATGCAGGAAAGTCTACCTCATTCATGTATAACTCACTGTTTTTACAGTCTCTGGAAACACAGGGCACATCTCTGTAAACAGCATCCACATCAACAAACAGAACATCACCAGCTCTCCAGCAGCCTCACCACCCCAAATGGACTATTTGCTTTTCATCTGGCATAATCAACAATCTTCTTTCAGTGTTCTGAATAAATACATGACAGGAAATGTCCAGAAACATAATCTAAGAGCAATTTAGTATTTTCAACTTCAAATTCCTGTCTATTTTCTTTCATTGATGAGCCTAGAAAACTTAGAAACATTTGGATATCTTTTAGTTTGCTTCCCTAAAATGTGAACAAACATGATTAAGTATTTGATTATTCAATAAATATTTTGACCAACTACACATCGTGCCAGACACTGTCATAAATGCCTAGATTACACAGACAGATAAGAACACCACTGGTGAATGCACCACCATTTGCTCACCCTGCCACTGGTGGGCATACTGGTACCTGACTTCAAGAATGACCAAGGGGATAAATCACAGCTCAGGGGGATACATGCAGTAGTGGAGGGACATACGAGCGGGATAGGCAATGTCACTGTTCTCAAAGAGCTCGCAGTTCAGTGGCCATAGAACCAGTGAGAGGAAAGATTGAAGATAATGAATCCTAGCAACAGAAGACACCACTGACAGCCTCCATGGAGGCTTGGTCTTCTGAGGTGGAGTGGCTGGGTGTGGAAAAAAAAATGGGAGAAAGGATGATGGTCTATAGTAATAGTAATGTTAGTCATTTCTTAAGACAAAGCTGAACTAGTTTCAGCAATTTCTGTATTCAATAAATGTGTTCCCTGTAGGTTAAATGCAATGGTGTACGTAGTCTCAACATTAAATGCATAGTAATTACTATTAATAAATGCTCATGTTTCCCCAGTCACCTGGCTCCTTGATCTGCTTCTCTGTCCACAACTTTACTTTGGCCAGGAACACCTGAAAAACCTTTATAGTTCCTCCTTTGCAACCTTGCACAGCACATTGTACATGCGTGTTAAGTGGGATCACTAAGCCTTTTTTTTTTTTTCTTTTTTTTTGAGACGGAGTCTCGCTCAGCCGCGCAGGCTGGAGTGCAGTGGCGCCATCTCGACTCACTGCAAGCTCTGCCTCCCGGGTTCATGCCATTCTCCTGCCTCAGCCTCCCAAGTAGCTGGGACTACAGGCGCCCGCTGCCACGCCCGGCTAACTTTTTGCATTTTTAGTAGAGACGGGGTTTCACCGTGTTAGCCAGGATGGTCTCGATATCCTGACTTCGTGATCCGCTCACCTCAGCCTCCCAAAGTGCTGGGTTTACAGGCGTGAGCCATCGAGCCCGGCCCACTAAGCCTTTTGATGAGCCAAAGCAGAATTCAAATCTAGCAGAAATGAGACCTTACTTACATATTCCAGTCTCTTACTGCTAGTCTGATTTCAGAGGCAGCATAGTGATAAGAGCATGGACCCTGGAACTAGCCTGCTCAAGTTCAAATTCCAGCTGCTCCACTTCTGGCTGCATGACCTTGGTTAAGTTCCAGAAACTGTTGGTGTCTCAGTTCCTTTGTTTCTTGAAGAAAATCTTCAGCCGAATTAAATTTAAAGGGGTTTAATTGAGCAATGAACAATTCACCAATTGAGCAGCCCCCAGAATCAGCAGATTCAGAGAGATTCCAGGGATGCCTCGTGGTCAGAACAAATTTATGGACAAAAAACGACAGGAATTGGAAGTCAGAAACGGCGGGATTTGGTTACAGCTCAGCATTTGCCTTATTTGAACACAGTCTGAACATTAAGTAGTCTGAGTGGTTAAAGTATGCCCCTGGGATTGGCCAACACTCTGCTATTGTTACGGGTGCATACTATTAAGTTAGGTTTTCAATTTTGTCTATTAAGCTAGGCTACAGTTCATCCACAAGGACTCAAATATAGAAGTACAGAGTCCTTCTCGGGCCATATTTAATTTGCTTTAACAATTCCCCCCTTTTGGTCATTTTCTCAATTTTGACAGGTTGACCAAAACCTCAGTCATTGATGTTACTATTACTGTTGTAAATGTACTTATATGATTTTGAAACCTACTGGGAAACAGAATCGTGTGTTTTGCAAGGAGAGAATAAGGACTGAGTAGAGAGTACCTTATGCTGGAACATCCTGTTTACAAGAGAAAAACAAAACCTGGTCTGTTCTAGGATCAGTGTTTTCTTAAAGCCTTGGCTTGATTATGTCATATTTAGCATGAGTCACTCCATTTTAGTTTGGTTTGGTTTGTTGGGGCCTAGCACATGAGCTCAGTCCAAAATAATGGCTTCCCATAATTTTGTTTTCAAAAATTCCCCCTTTTTGGCCAGGTTCTCACTTAGGTGAGAGTGTGAACAAAACTTAGGGTCACTCAGTTGCCATCATTTTGGGTTTTGGGTCTCAGCACGTCATTCATAAGTTGCAGTGTCCCCATAGTCACCCATTTCTCTCAGCTTTTGTCATTCCAGTTGAAGAGAGACCATTTGATGTCCTAGAGATGTCTGGCAAGCATTTACAACCTCTGAGACAATACAGCACACCGGGGAGACTATTATGACTATTAGGATGATAATACCAAGAGTTTGGAGTATGCTCCTTACCCAGGGTCCCCATAAACCAAAATACCTAAAATTAAATAGATTAAAGAATGTGCTAGATAGTCTACTTGCTTGACTAGAGGGTCTCTTCACTAATCCCCTACAACTGAATTTTTATAATTTACATTTGATGTATTTCTCTGTAGGCCACAAGTGTCAGCAGCTGCACAGGTACTTTTCTGTTTAGCCAATTCTATTACTTAGCATAACTTTCACAAGAGAATTTAAAGTCTGTTGTGTAATGACAGCCTTTAAAGTAGAATTTGCTGTAGAGCCTATTGTGAGGGCGACATTTCTAATTATTGCCTCTTTTATTCTAAACCCTGGAAAAAGGACCTAACAAATGATGTCCTTCTTACAGAGTGAAGGCCTCCTGGCAATGTTCTCTTTAATCCATGATGTGGGTTAAGGGGAAAACTGATTATGAGGCAACAGATATACCACTGAAGTTTCTCACCTACATTGGGCCTTCATCTTTTATCTATTGAAGTATAAGTTTATTCATGTATAAGGCTGGCTGCAAAATCCTTCACAAATAAAAGTATACCCTAGAAGTGCACAAAATAGACCCCATTTTCATTCCTGTTGTTAATAGAGGCATAAACAAGGAAAAAATATTCAAAGATAAAGAGTCTCATGATAGAAGAAATTTTGATCTGTAATCTTGGGAAAAGCTGTTCACATCAAGGATGCCATCTTCTTCTGGGGAGAAACTTTCCTGGTTAGCTCTACCCTAAGGGTTCCAATGGCTGTACAGTTCCAGGAGTGTGGAGGGACCCTTCTCAGTTGTGAGATTATAAACCCAAGATTCAAGGCTCCAAAGTTTCGCTGTGGTGGATGGCAAGGACAGTCCCTCTCTGAGGTTGCCAGAAGATCCAACCCTTGGGTTCTAGATTGTGAAGGGATTGTCCTCAGTGAACCATAAGAAGCTTTCTCCACCAGGTGAAAACACACTGTAGCATAACAATTCACTGTTACATATGCCCTCTTGCATGGGAAAGCCCCTACACCACCAGATAACAAGCATTGAAAAATGACAATTGAATGAAATACCTTTATAAATGTTTAAATGGCCCATCAGGTAACCAAATATAACCGAAGCTTTGATTGTCTTTCCAGGAAAATGGAACCAAACATTGGTTTTAAACTGTTTCCACCATTTATAAGTCACCACATCAATATATTCAACTTGGACCATTTTATCTTTTCCATGATGAGTTATGGAATGAAGAACCCCCAACAACAAAATCTTAAGGTTCTTAAGTCCTGCTTCTTTATGAATCCATGCTTAATATTGGACTTATGTTTCTCCAATTTAGGTGCATAGCATTGATAACGGATTATCATAGGTAATTTGACTTAGACCATGGAGTTCATTCAAATTTTATATTTAAACAACCTTAGAATTGGCTGATTTAGCATGATAATCTAGAACTTGATTTTGAAAGGCTTGTTAAATACCAAAGGTTTAAAACATTAGATATTACAAAATAGAATCTTAAGTTATCATAAGTCATTCATTTAGCCAAAATAACTCAAAAATTTTTTAAAGGAAAAAACGTTAGTCTGATAGGAGACTCAGCTTTTCAAACAAGACCCAATGAAGATAGCATGAGGCCAACTGACTCTGTCTCCTTTCTTTCCTTCCCTCCGCTATTTCTTTTGCACTTTATTTAAAAGGTAAACAAAAACCTTTATCTTTTAATATTACATAAAAATCCCTTTTAAAAGAGAAAACCAAATTTTATGTTTCCATTTGTGTATTTTTAATGTTAAAGCTAGCTTTTAATAATATTTTATAAATCTATTGTTTTAATTAGTTTGACCATAAGGTAAGATTTTAATAAACATTTTGTAACCCTTTACAAATTTTTTCTCAGAGCAGAACAATGTTCTAAGAAAACTCTGTTGTGATTTTATTCCAATGTCCAATTTATGGAAAAAACTGAGCAATGCCATTTTACCTTTAGCCAATATGTTTACACATAGAATCTCTTACAATTAATTTTTTCTTTTTCTTTTTTGAGATGGAGTCTCGCTCTGTCGCCAGGCTGGAGTGCAGTGGCATGATCTCGGCTCACTGCAACCTCCACCTCCCGGGTTCAAGCAATTCTCCTGCCTCACCCTCCCAAGCAGCTGGGACGACAGGTACACGCCACCACATCCAGCTAATGTTTTTTGTATTTTTAGTAGAGACGGGATTTTACCATGTTGGCCAGGATGGTCTCAATCTCCTGACCTCCTGATCCTCCTGCCTTGGCCTCCCAAAGTGCTGGGATTACAGGTGTGAGCCACCGTGCTCAGCCTCTTACAATTAATATAATTGTATCTTACAATTTTATAAACCTTCCACAACTTATTGAAACTTATTTAATTTAAAATACTCCTTTAGGCCGGGCGCGGTGGCTCACGCCTGTAATCCCAGCACTTTGGGAGGCCGAGGCGGGCGGATCACGAGATCAGGAGATCGAGACCATCCTGGCTAACACAGTGAAACCCCATCTCTACTAAAAAAAGACAAAAAAAAAAAATTAGCCGGGCAAGGTGGTGGGCGCCGGTAGTCCCAGCTACTCGGAAGGCTGAGGCAGGAGAATGGCGTGAACCCGGGAGGCGGAGCTTGCAGTGAGCTGAGATCCGGCCACTGCACTCCAGCCTGGGCAAAAGAGAGAGACTCCGTCTCAAAAGAAAAAAAAAAAAAAAAACACTCCTTTAACCCTCTAACTTAGGCAAAAATTTACATTACCATACTTTCTTATAATCTCTTACAAAAAAACATTTCATTCTCCTTACACGTCTTGCACGTAAACCTATTTTTTCAGTAGTCTCAATTACATATTACAATGTTAACTCTTATGACTTTTACTTTTGGTGAAAACCTTGGTAAGTAAGGGATTTTAATTATGTACTAGGTGTGGAGCCCAGGACCCAGACAGAAATGCAGATAAGGTCTGACCCTTTCCAGTGTCTAACTCCTCTTGTCCCAGGCCTTGCCTAGCTATAAAGCAGGCAGGCTGTACATTTGAGTCATAGTAGCGTTTTATGAATCATTTAGGAGGCTTAATCACCTTTAAATTGTGTAATATTTCTGGCATAAATTCCTTTGCATAAATTCTTTCACGACTTACACAGATCATGTATGTCATGTTTTGATTTTCTGACTTGCCCTAAACATCCCTCTTTTTAAATAACCAGTCATTTTACTTTAGGAAAAGAATTTACCATACAGCATCCTTTCTTATATAAAATCTCTTTTCTTTATAACCTTCTTTGCAGAGCTAGGGGGCATGGCTAA